GGACAAGAGAACAGGTGGGGGGACAGGGGAGCAGGTGGGGGGAAGAGGGGAACAAGTGGGACATGGGACAGAGGGGGACAGGGGAGGACAGGGGGGCAGGTGGGGACATAGGACGGGTGGGCACAGGGGACAGGAGGGGGAAAAGGGGGACACGGGGCAGGTGAGGACAGGGGTGCAGGTGGGACCGGTGGGGGACATGGGGTGCCCCAGATGGGGACGGGGGGGACAGGCAGGAGGACAGGGGACAGGCGGGGACAGGTGGCTGGGGGGGATCAGAAGCGGGGTGGCAGCAGCTGGGGGGATGAAGCCGGGATCCAACACCCCCCGAGAGCCGCCGGTGACCGAGGGCAGCCGCTCCGGTCCCCCCGCGTGTCCCCCGTTGTCCCCCCCGCCGTGACGTCACCAGCCGCCTCCCGGGACAAGTAACCGGGAACAGGCCGGGCTGGAACAGCCTATCCTGGATTACTTGAACCGGGCCGCGGCCGCCGCACCCCCGCCGTCACCCCCGGCTCCCTCCGTCCCCGCCGCTCCCGCCGTCCCCGCTCCTCTCCGCTCCCCCGGCGGCGCCTCCGGTGAAGGGGGGGGGCGGGGCCGCGGCTGCGGAACGGAGGCCTGAGGGGGGCGGGGCTGAGGGGGAGCCTTGAAACAGGCGGAGGGCGCTGATTGGATGGGCGGCGAGGGGGCGGGACCGCGGCTGTGTTTACCTCGCGCGGGGCGGCCGAGGCCACGCCCCTCGCACTGGAGAGGGCGGGGCTTTGCTAAGCCACGCCCATGCGTGGCTAAGGGGCGGGGCTTGGGCGGGGTTTCCTTCAGCCGCTTTTCAGCGCTAAACATTGTGAAATTAATTATGTTCAATTAGAAAAAGAATCCCTTTCGCCCGGATTTATGAGCGGGAACCCCAAATCCCTCCCGTTTCGGCCCCAAATTCCTTCTTTTTTATCGCATTTCCAACTAATTCACCTCAAATTCCCAACCCTCACCCAAATTTCTCCTTTTTAAATTGTGTTTCTACCTAATTCACCTCAAATTCCCAACCCTCACCCAAATTCCTCGTGTTTCCACCCATAACTCCTTCTTTTTTATCACATTTCCACCTAATTCATGCCAAATTCCCAACCCTAACCCAAATTTCTCCTGTTTCCACCCCCAATTCCTTGTTTTTCTTCCCATTTCCTCCTAATTCACCTCAAATTCCCCCCCCCGATGCAAATTTTTCACGTTTCCACCCACAATTCCTTCTTTTTCATCCCATTTCCACCTAATTCACTTCAAATCCTTAACCCAAATTCCTTTTTTATCGCATTTCCACCTAATTCACCTCAAATTCCCAATCCTAATCCAAATTCTTTCTTTTTTCCTCGCATTTCCCCCTAATTCACCTCAAATTTCGTACCCTAACCCCAATTCCTCCTGTTTCCACCCCCAATTCCTTCTTTTTTATCACATTTCCACCTAATTCTCCTCAAATTCCTAACCCTCACCTCATTTCCTACTTTTTTCCATCCTGACTCACCTCAAATCCCACCCGCTCCACACAAATCCCTTTGGTTTCCCCAAAATTCCTATTTCCCCCCAATAAATCCCGCCTATTTCACCCCAAAACTCCTCGTCTTTCACCCCAATTTCCTCTTTCTTCACGCAAATTCCTCCCGTTTTCCCTCAGTTTTCCACAGAATTTCTTTTTCTTGGGTTTTGGGGTTATTTTAAAGGAAAATCTGTAGGAATGCAGAGGAATCCCCCGGCACCCGCTGCCCAATTTGGGGGCGGTTTTAATTGCTTTTCAATTACGGAACGAAACTGCCAGAGCCAGTTCCGGGGACAACTGGGACAAACTGGGACAAACTGGGACCGGACTGGGACCGGACCGAAGCCCCGCCCCCGCCAACATCCGGGCACCTCGAGCCGCAGCCCCGCCCACCTCCCCTGCATCACCATTGGTCGCTGATGTATGACGTCATTTATGGGCGTGGCGAAGGCGGGGAGGGGGCGGGGCGCGCCGCCCTTTCCAGGGAGCCCCAAAATCTCCCCGAGCTCGGGCGCGTCCCTCCCCGGGACCCCCGAGCGGATCCCCGGCAGCGCCGCGGGGCTGTCCCGGCGTGTCCCTGCTCGGGATACCGGCCCCGGACCCCAAACCGCCGGTGCCACCACCCCAGACCCCCAATGCCGTGACCCCAAATCCCCCCCAGTTGCTGTGACCCCAAACCCCTCAGTGCTGCCACCCCAAACCCCCCCAGTACCGTGACCCCCCCTCCCAAATGGGGCCACTTTGGGTCCCCCCAAATCCATCCCAGTGAACCCAAAACGGATCCAGCCCCTCCCTGGAGCTGGCCCCAGTGTGTGGGGGATGGGAACTGGGAATCCATGGAATTCCTGGGAAAAGGGGAAATTCCTGGGCAGCCAAAGTTTTATTTCTAAAACAATTTTTATTTATTTTTTTTATTTCGAAATCAGAAAGCCGCAGAGAAGGAAATTCCCGGCGGAAATTCCGCTGCGTTTGTCGGGAACTGCTGCCCCGGGACCCCTCTGAGGGGCGATTTGGGGTTCTGGGAAACCCCAGAACTGCTGGGAATGCTGGGAACGCCTCTGTCCCCAAAGCCTGGCCCACGGCCAGAGCCTGGCAGCAAACCTGGCTTCTATCGGGAATGAAACCTGGCTTTTATCGGGAATTAAACCTGGCTTTTATCGGGAATTAAACCTGGCTTTTGTTGGGAATTCCCAATTGGAACATTCCTGAATTAGGGAAAACCCCAAACAGCAAAGTCCTGGCTTTTGTTGGGAATTAAACCTGGCTTTTA